CTAATCATTTTAGATAATGCCGTTCACGATAATATATGACATCAATATGACAACAATAATAACTAATGCAGCTAATACAATAGAAAATTGCTAGTGTAAAGCATCATCTGTTATATGCCTAAAAAATTCCTGAAATATTACAAAATATAATTAAGCCGCAGGAAACAATAACAGGTGTTTAGATATAATCAAATTCGCTGTATAAATAGATGTTGCTGCAACAGACTGAAGTACATCTGCTCGTTCTAGATCAATATATTTTAACAATAAATTTTTAAAATTAATATTGGACAATTATAGTTCCAGTAACTCTTTTATTCTTCCAACACAGATCTCTGAGCCTTCCATCGCTTCTTTCGAAGTCTGTAAATAACAAAATAATACAATATTGCGATAATATATATATTAATTCATATATAATAAAAACAAACGTATTTATCTAACCTGTACAAGACTGAGAAATCCGTGTGGCAGACCTGGCAAAATATCTAATGTAACTTTATTGCCAAGTGAACGAAGCTTCCTCGCAAACATGATGCAGTCATCGAGGCAAGGATCAAGATGACACGTCTAGAAGCAAACAATTATGTACAAGATATCTTAAAACTTTCGATCTTAATAGTAGCTAAAGTTCATTAAGTTTTTATTAGAATGTGACAAAAATCCAAACAAGTACCAGTATCTTTATGGGCGGTATATTAGCTAACATATTATCAGGCGCATCATAAGGGCTCAAGAAAGGATCCTTCGGTATTGCAAAGACGAATTCTTCAGAAGAAATGGTGTTCTCCATATTAAGTTCTCTGCTATCCTTACTACTTCTTCTGCCAAAGGACCATCCAAATAAAGACCATGATTTGTTACTTTGTCCTGAACTGTTACCATTTCTACTGACACTGCCATTCATTGCAACAGGCGATGACGTTGAAGCAAGGCCGGAATTTCTGTACATATTTAAAAATCTGTTGATATATTCTCGAGATTTCGCTTGTGCTTTCGGACATTCAGCACCTGTTGCATTAAAAGATTTTTCAAAATGTTTGTCGAGAAATAAATTTATATTAATAAACACTGAGCATATACTGTCTGATTTATATACCATCGACTTCTGTTAAACTAACAGAATTTAATGTCGAATCAGATGGAAGGGATACTAATTTCTGATCATCATTTGCGCCGTCTCCATTTGGACTCAGGGCTAATGCTATAAGGTCACTTTCGCTCACTTCTGCAAAAGATTCCGTATCCGATTTAACGTCTTCATTCTCATGTTCTCTGTCAGGATATAAATAAATCGATTACATATATGCAAAATATAATCATTTAATATTAGTTACGAAATACATACACAAATATGAATATATTTAGATGATTTAATTTTGTTCCATGTTTTTAAAAATAAATTGATTAAAATAATCGATTAAAATAATAATTGAAATCGTACTTTGTGGATTTCTTGTTATCAGCTACATAAGCCTTAAGACATCGTAACATAAAGCCGAACGGTAATAATGGATCCGTGAGACAAAGCATACGAGAGGGCGACGGTATACATTCGATGCGTACTGGTGCATACGCCATAAAAATACCATCTGGTCTTCTTATATTTAATTGCATACATCTTAAAATAACTCCCAAGTTTATATTTCCTCCTGCAGAATCACCTGTTAAAACATCATAAGATTTTTTTAGTTTACTCAATCGACAGAAACACGTAAAGAAATAATTTTTTTTTATCTTACCAACAAATATCACTTTTTTTGCAGTACTTCCGAGTAAGGTGTTTGCATGTTTTAATGCCCACGCATAAGCATACAGCACCTCTTCGAGTGCACGAGGATAGGGTGCCTCTGGAGCTAAACTATAATCTATACTCAAGATTGGTACTTCAAGCGTCACAGTCCAATTTCGTAGATATATTTCGTGCGAGCGTGAAGTTTGTGAAACAAATCCGCCCCCGTGAGTATGAATAATTAATTCATCACATAGATCGCATAATGTTCCGCCTATACCTCCAGATCCAACCTTGATAGAATATTATCAAAAATTATGAAAAATATCCACCAGCATCAGTTTAAAAAATTCTCTATGAATTCTATTCTAAGTTGCAAACTTAGTCTCAGTGAGAATAATATATATAATTAAATAAAATACGCGCACAGTACTTTCAATACTCTTTAAGTCTATATATTAATATTTGATGTACCATTCCTAGACGCCGTTTGGAGCTTAGCAACCTAACGTGGATTGGTTTCTTCCCAATGTGACTATTTGGTATTGGAACTGAAATGATTCCTTCATCTAAAGTAGGTAGGACTAATTCCTCGGGCGGAATAGATATTACCTGATTGATTGCTAAATTCGAGGTGTTTATTATATTCATTATTGCTGAAATGGAAGTCAAAGAAATTCCATTAATTGAAGTGAATATAAGTGAGATAATTTTATCTAAATTGGCATCTTTATTATTGTATAAAGTTTTTTAAATGCAGAATATTAAATATTCACATGTGCGAAATATTTTCAATTAATATTTTTAGTCACAATTCCTTATTCCTTACCAGATTCGCTTAGAAACCAAAATGCTTGGCAGAAAGAAATGTCAGCATGCTGAGATATATTAACAATACGACGTGCTCTTGCTTCGGGATCTAATAAATACTTAATAGAATTAGTGCATAGTCCTAGTAGGGTACTATTGCTGTAATACATCTCACTGAAGGATGCCATAAAGAATGACAGTGTTTTTAATACATGTTTCAAACTATCACAGAACTGAAAAAAAAAAACTTTTAAGACAGATAGACACTTTAAATGTATTTGGCTTAAGTTCAAGTGTTATTTATTCTTCGCAAGTACCTGAAATCCTAGGCACCTGCCATAAAAGCAGTACTGATTAACATTCTGTGCAGAATTGAGAAGTTCTTGAGTATTATACTGCTCTAGCGGATACAATGACAGCTTTCCATCATTCATTACTTCTGTGCTCCACGAGTACATTGTTTTTAAATGCTGTAAACATGTAAAGAGTGATGCCAATAATTGAGAGCACGCTTCTATTTCCCTAAAAACCCAGATTAAATGTACATGTCTATTGTTACATGCAGAAGCAAATATAGGATATAATTTTTTAATTTATATAATGTACAATTACTTCATGTAGTAGCTTTTTCGGAAAAACACGGAGTCTTTCTGATCGTGTATCTGCCGGCAAATCAGCTCGGAATACATGATACATTTATCTACCAACAACAGGAAACTTCTGTACCCATTCCCCGGGTTGTCTTCGTCAAAGTCAAAGTGTGATGCGAACCTGGCAATCTCCCTGTACAGTGGCTGCAAGTCAGTCAAATAATCCTTGATCGCCACGAGAGCAGCCCTAATCTTAATGCCATTCTTATCCTGGTGAGAATCAAAATATTTCTCGTTGGCACAGCATAAATCACGCAATGTATTCCACTCATCCAATTGCTGGGGCTCAAAATCAAACGGTCTTTCGAAATCATCATTGCACGTCGACATTTGGAACGATTCTTTGAAAGACAACTAGAACAACACTCTTTTTCTCTTTCTCCCTCTTTTTCTGTCTTTCTCTATCGAGAGAGCTTCGTGAATCAACTGCTAACAATCTAACAATGAAAACAAATCTTGACTTTGTTATGCATTCTAAACAACCACCGATTGCCCAACATGAATTCCTGATGTGTCATAACGGATGATAACGATTATGATTCCACACGCATGATTGCGTGACTATGTTAATGGACAACTTGACACGTACATCGCGCGGACGGTGCAGCTCCTTAGCGAGGTTAATCCATCCGCGAGTATTGTATTCTCATCCGCCCAATATATCGGGTCGACGGCGGCAATTTACGTTTTGCGCTGCCGCGACGCTGCGATCGATTCCACTCGCGGCGCGAAGAATCGCGCGATT